AATACATGATGTCTTACATATGCGCGTCAATTTACTTTATAATCGGAGAAAAAATGGCCGACTGGCGGCCATTTTGGATGTAAAATTTGCTATTTCTGATACATAAACGTGTCCGCAGCAGTATCTCGGAGATGACTGGGCCGATTTAGATCAAAGTTGGTATGATGATCATACATATTGGGTTGTAGGTGCACGTAATTTTTTTTTCGTGATTCGAACAAATATGGCCGACTGGCGACCATCTTGTTTTTCATGGTACCCATGCTACTTTATCTTGAATGCAATGAACGTTTCTGTTTATATTTTGTACAAAGATAGTGTACCAAGAGATACATCTGCATCAACATGAGTTTTGTGATTCAATTCAATTCATGTAAATATGCTAAATCATTATTTTTACATGCCCGGAGCTGTTTTTTAGAGATGACTGGGGCGATTTGGATCAAATTTGGTATGGAGATCATACATATTTAGTTTTTAGTCATACATATTTAGGTGCACGTCATACTTTTTCCGTGATTCAAACAAATAGGACAGACTGGCGGCTATTTTGTTTTTCATGGTACCCATGCTACTTTCTCTTGAATGCCATGAACGTTTCTGTTTACAAAGGTAATATACCAAGAGATACAACTATACCATCATTATTTTTGTGATTCGATTCAATATGGCTGACTGACGCCAAAATTTCATGTAAAAGCACTATAAATCGTCATTTTTACATGTCCGGAGCTGTTTTTCAGAGATGACTAGGCCGATTTGGATCAAAGTTGGTATGATGATCATACATATTGGGTTATAGTTGCATGTCATATTTTTTCTGTGATTCAAACTAATACGGCTGACTGGTGGCCATTTTGTTTTTCATGATACCCAGGCCTACTTTCCCATGAATGCAATGAACATTTCTGTTTAAATTGTGTACAAAGATAGTATACCAATAGATACATCAACATGAACATTATTTTTGTAATTTGATTCAATATGACTGCCCAATGTCAAATTCTCGTGTAAAAGCACTAAATCATAATTTTTTTACAAATCCATCTCTTATTAATGGTTTCAATCTAATCTCAATGACTTCATCAGCATCAAATTGATATGTCAGATCACACAATTTTGGACGGGGATTGTGTCATTAACAATGACTTGTTATTATAAATATAAACAATATACATGTATATGTGTATTAGGAATGTTAACGGCGTATCTGGCGATATGTTGGACATATAATATGTATGTGTAATCAAAATGAGTTTTATACTACTTTTGAATCGTTTGATTTCATGTTTTTTTTGTGTGTTTTAAGTTCGAAACACTCGCTCGAAAGTATGGGTTTACAGATATAAATCCAATGGATTGACTGTTTTATCCGTTAGTTTGAGCTTGTTTGTGAGTGGGACTGGATGAAGCAATTGTCTAAATCAATGGTTGGAGTTGGTCAGATGGCTGGAGCTGTTGTGTTTGGTCAATTTGCAGATATGTAAGTAGTGCATATTAATCGTGGCATTGGACAAAGCGAATCCCCACAAACTTCAATTCAGACAATGCAGTTCAATTTAATTTACAATTTACAGTTACGGCAGGAAACCGCTGTACATAACAGGTTTGATGTTAATCATTGTCTTTGGGGTCGCCAATGCGTTTTCACCATGTTTTTTCCTGGTCGTAATTGCACAGTTCCTCCTGGCTGCTTATGGTAATGGCGTGCGTCTAACTGGTTACGTACTATGTAAGTACTGAACACTAAATGTAGAAGTAAAATACTGTAAAATACTTTATTTTCGCTTGGAATTTATTTTCGCTATTTTCGCTGAGGGGATGATTCAGTGAAAATAAAACCGCGCAAATATACTATTTTCCCTATAACTTTCACTCAACTTGTCAAAAATCAGTGAAAATAAATTCCATACTAAACACACAAAATATCTTTTCAGTGAAAATTAATTACAGCTAAAATAAAGTATTTTACAGCACGTTGATTTTATTCAAATGTTGAAGTTTGTTATGAACACGATGTGGTATTCACTTATAGCATTGTTGGATTTCTTATTAAATCCGCTGCCATGTTGTCAATTTACAACTACACAACAACCACAATTTCGTTTTGAAAAACTTGTGTAACATTGCTTTAACCGCACCGTGTGCTTTAACGCATTCGCCATTATATCCGTGACGTCACGGAATCGTTTTATCGACAGAGAGCGTTTTGTATATCAAAAAGAAACCCCGATTCCCCAATTAATAATATCAGTAATACTATTCTCTATAATATTGTAGCTATCGAGTCTGTCGGCGCTAATTACCGAATTGGATGCAACGTCATGAATATGGTATCCTTTTCTTTTGGATACATACTATTAGCTGGCGTTGCCCATGGATTGAAAGGCAATTGGAGACACATACAGTTATTAAGTGGAATAATATTTATCGTATTTATCCCTTATGTCTGGTACGTTGGTGAATGCTTGTTCTTTAATTTACGATCTCCACCACCACCTTTACCGTCACCGCCACGACGTACAGAAAACATCATCACAAACAACAGCAGAACAAAGCATCAACAGTAACAAAAGCTGCAGCAGTCGTCACCTACGCGTGCGTCTGGTGGCATAGCGTGTCATTGTTTACAAACAAGCGTGTACCCATGAGCCTTTGCGCTCTTAGCGTGTGATGTTATCATCGCTTGGGACTCAATTCTCGCGTGTGTGCAGGTGACGACCCTCCCACTTTAAGTAAATAATATATGAAATACAACATATAACACACACGAGACGCGGCACAAAGGTGGACGCCCACTCAGTGCAATTTCATCTTTTTTTCTTACAGAAATCTATATTTGACAATTTTCACGACTAAGCAGCTGACAAACCAATCAACATCAACAAATACTCGTGTTTAAGAACTTTGTGATTGATTGTTGCATAATGGCATTTTTTTATGCTTCAAGTTTTCTAGAGGAGTCGCCAAGATGGCTTATTCAGGTCGGAAACTTCCCTAGAGCTAAGAAAATCATCAAGAAAGCAGCAAAACAGAACAAAGTGGTTTTACCTGAAAACATTATTATGTTTGAAAAACAGCAACCCGGAAATAATAAAGTGAATGACAGTTTGGTAGGTAGTTTGTTCCAAATAGTATTTCATGTCACTGCGTGTGAATGGGACACACGCATTGGTGGAGGTCACGTGCAAATACAGAATTAGGGACGTGTTGCTGTCACATGACGGTAAACACGAGTAAGAACGTGGGTTGATAAATTCTCTCGACTGTTATACTAGTAACATATTTGGCAGAGAAGGTATGATTGAGTTCAGTATACTGTAAAACACCCCGAGAGGGGGCAGTTGATACATAGCTGGGTAGGAAGGTGCCCCTGAGTGCTCAAAAGTGTGACCATTTTTATACCAGGGTAGTGGCAAAATCTATACCCATATTTATACCAAAGTACCATTTCTGTCATCACTGTTCATTCCAAATAAAACAGTTACCGTATTTGCTCTATTATAAGAGCATCTCAAATAGAAGCACATGTAAGTCAACATGTATATTGATTTATTAAAATATGTATTTTGACCATAGAAACACCTCTGTCACTTGCATATAAGAGCATATTATTAACACAATGTTTAGGTTATTTAGGTTGTTAAATGAGAAACAACCGATATTTATAGATATCTTGACCAGAAATAAGACCGATACTTATACCTAAAATAAATAAAACAAGACCCATTTCATGGGCACGCCCCCCCCAATAGGCAAGTTCTATGTATTGCCCCCCGTAAAACACATAACTTTGTGATGGTCACTCATTTAAAACCTAGTACGCCGGAGGTTTTTTTTTTGTTACAAATATTTAATTACCTGACGATAGTTCTTTTTAGTTGTGTAGTCGTCGTGCAACTTATTTCCCAGTTTTTAATTAGTTTATTAATGTGAAAGTCGGTTATGATTCTTGGAATGCGTCTAACATTGGACAATACTTTACTTGTGTTTACAGACACAATATACTCTGATTGATATACTCAAAAGACCGCGTCTTCGGTTACGAACTCTGAATCTGTGTTTTAATTGGTCAGTGTATTTATTTATTTATTTATTTATTGTAATTAATTAATTTAGCAAGACACATTGTAGTAGCTATAGTTTTTTTTTTTATTCTGTATTATAGAGATTTACGTACACATACGCTGGGTTATTTAAAACAAAGTTGAGCCGCAAAGTATATTCTGATTGTCAAATTAACAATGCGCATGCATTTTGAATTACTACCGTAGTACGTACATACGTACTGGTACGTACTTATTTAATGATGGGCATGCGCAACTGCGAAGTTCATTATTTCATTTACATGCACGCTGGATTATACAACAAGCTGTTCAACTATTATTTGTTTGGATAACTCAGCCATGCAGGTTCATTTTGAATTACTGGTACGTTCTATTAATTCGATGCGCATGCGCATCTATGAAGTTCATTATTTCATTGAATGAATACTAATTTTTGTGCTACAAAAACAGAGTCGTTTTTAGTCTCCTCGTCCAAATATATCTTCAATATCGTTAACCAAAGCGATACTGTAAATGCAATAATTATTCGCTATTTCATACACAGGTTTGCAGTGAGCCTTGTGTACTGGGCCATATCGTTGAACACAGACACTCTCTCCGGCAATCCATACTTGACCTTTTTCATATCCGGTGCAGTAGAAATACCCAGTGCCCTGATATACTGGTTGCTACTGGACAAAATTGGCAGACGATACATGTTGTGTGGTGCTATGGTTCTTTCTGGCGTCGCCTTGGTGACCAGTGGCAGTCTTTCTCCAGGTGATCATTACGCATTATGGTTAACGTATTTGTTTTTGTTTGTTTGTTTGTTTTATGTTGTGATAGTGTGTGTTTGTTTCCGACTATCGTGTTGTTTTTGCAGTGCATAAAATAGTAGTGACGTCTCGCCACGCATGTGGCATGTGCACATATTTAAATAAACAAGTTGTGAAACATGGCACCAAGTAAATCAAATGTCTTACCCTAAAATGCAAAACAAAAAGTGCAGAGGGGGTCGGGCGTTATGTTAATAACCATTGTTCATAATCGCTAACTTGGTTTTATTCAAAACTGCACAAATCGCGCGTTTTCTGGTGATATCCGACGGACGATTTCATGACCAAAAATGGCCAGCAGCCAGAATCAAGGGGGATTCACACAGAGTTCTGGGTAAATCAAGTGCTCATACTCATTTCCATCCAATCAGGCGTGCCGTAACAGCGAGTATATCCTTGATTTACCCGGAACTCTCGGTATATACGTATTTATTTATTAACACACAACATCCCCCGGAGGGGATGAAAAGGGGTTACAAATCAGATATTAGTAAAAAAAAAAAAAATAACTACATAGCGGAAGTTTTTTTTTTAAAGTTAGTATTTATTAATTTTCAGCCCCCTGTGGGCATGTGCGAGATAAATGGGTCTCATATAAACAAAGATGGCGACTTTGACTGTTGCGCAGATCAACGAGTACAAACTGAGACCAAGCTTTAATTAGGTATTTTTACCGGCGGTAATTAGTGCAAGTCTCGCTCTGGTCAAATCTCATAATTCCATTAGTAGAGCGCATTGGATTATGGGAAAATCAATGTTTATTAACACAAATGTTGCACATGCGCAGCGCGACGATGACTATCATCTTTTAATGGTACGTACTACGGTATTGGTTAATACTTACAACGTGTAATACTTCATGGAACGTTTATATTGTAAGGCCAAAACAAATTTCTGATACAACAAATACGTATTTCCTTTATGTCGCGCCCTCTAGCGATGACAAATTCCTGTGACGTGCTAGTAAATGGGTGGAAAGAATATCTTTCACATCCTCGATATTGATCTGTAGTCGTGTGCCAATGAGCAATACTGTTTCTGATACAATTACTGTAATGGCGAACGGCTACATAACCAAACGCAGACGTAACTTTGACTGACATTGCTGCAATCTACTACATCATTTTGACGTCACAAAATGGTGTTGTCGCCAGAGGGCGTCACGTATGGAAGTGTACTATGGCATATTTCACAAAACTGTTCTTTTTTAAAATTTATTTATGACTCCCAGAATATGGTACTGTATCTACGGCATTCGCGATGATCGGAAAATTCTTTTCTAGTATGGCATTTGGCATAACTTATCTATTCTCTGCAGAGATCTACCCTACATGCGTCAGGTGGGACTTTGTAGACACATTTTGTTACATTTATTTAAGCGCATGCGCAATGATCTGCATATATGATTTGCATATAATATTGTGTTGTGTGGTGTTTATCAAGGCTGTGAACCACAGGGTGTAATAAATGGTCTGTGTAGATAACTTGGGTACTTCATGGTATACATATTGAGGTATAATTGATTGCGAAACTATTAAATTCTTGTTTGTGCAATGATGGACATGTCATGCATGCACTTTGAATTAGAGGTACGTAAAATCAAATTAAATTATGCATATGCGGGGTATTTCATCCTACAATATAAGGAACGTACTCCACACAAAGTTCGCTGATTCTGTTCTAAACTTTTTGGATTTCGGCATTCCCATGATGTATCCTTAGAAGGAAAAGATGTATAATCATAAGGTTATTACGAGGATACCTGCGCGTCGGTCGATACTGCCGTTTGTACTGTCTTCGTGCATACTTTGAGGTATCCTCGTAATAATCTCATATTATATGGAATCTATATTGGTTCTCCAACAGATGCGATGGCAATGACCTATCTCTATTTTCATTACTCTCCAGAAATGCTGGAATGGGTATATCTTCTACTTCTGCCAGGATTGGTACAATCATCGCACCGTTTGTAATGTTATTAATATCTAAATGGCGTCCACTGCCATTCTTTCTAATGGGTGTGTGTACGATTCTGGCTGGACTACTGGTATTACTTTTACCAGAAACTCGGGGACAAAAACTGCCAGAGACGCTCGAAGAGGGTGAATTGTTTGGCAGGTAAGAAGGCAAAAGATATTTAGATATTTAGATATTAAAATTTGGGTTATAGCTCCTTGGTAACATTTTTTTTTCAAAAATCGCCATTTTTAAAGGGCGGGAGTCGTCGTGCAGCGTCCCGTTCGATATGAAACTCATAGCGACGTATACAACGCGTGTAAAATACATTGTTTATTTACATGAAATTCGAACATGCGCTGCGCGACGCCCATCGCGCTTTAAAGAACTGTTAAAAAGGGATTTATATTACTGTTAGTGAGTGAGCCTGTAGTCATAGTTTAACACCCCCAGACTGAAACTGTTCATGCATGTGTCCAGTAATTTATGTTAGTCATTTGTACATGCAGTGGTTCAGCGATTCGTTCCAAGATAGCCGACTGGAAGCCATTTTTTATTGGTTTGTCAGTTTTCGTTCATACATGTCCATGACAAATCATTTAATAATCGGATTAAAAATGACCGACTGACGACCGACTTGCTTTTTGGACATACTACTATATCTCGGAGACTGTTCATTCATAATTAATATTAATTAATTCACTCATAATTAGCACACATAACGATGCATGGTGGAATACATGTCCATGTTAGTTTGTTTCCTAATCAGATGAAAATTGAAGAGTGGCAGCTTTTTTTGACTATACTATTATATCTGTCGCCCATGTATAATTGTTATTGATATTCGGAAAATTTTTATAAATTGATGCATGCCCATATCCATTAAATAGTGATTTGATCCGAAGCGCTCTATAGTGTAAATGTGGTAAAGTGAAGGCGATGTTGTTTTGTTTGTAGCGTTTCGTCATTCAGATTAAAATCCTTGAAAATTGAACTACACTACCAAATGAGGTGGTTATTTTGAGGTACACCATACTGACGTCACAAAAGCGCATTGCCACTAGAGGGCAGGATTTATGGGAAAGGTGTATTCAAGAAATATTCAATTGGTATGCGATGTATTTCTTGGGGTTAGTTCGTTGAGGTTCGTTCGTTATTTGCTATTTGTTATTTACTTTTTCAGAAAAACAAGCAGAGATGACAAGAACACTGAAAAATCGGTATTGATTTCTGAAGCTGAAAATACGTTATGACAAGATTTGTGATGTCATCATCAACACTGTATTTGCAGTTTCTGATTGGTCAATTATAATCAGTGCATTTTTTTCCACGTCATTTACAAAGTGCAATTTACATGTCAATAAATTGCTTTCAAGTTGAAAAAAACACAAGAACTGTTGCATGCTGTACACTCGACAGAAAAAACGCATACAATTTGTGTCCATAACCCGTGATCAGAATGGTGTCAATGTGAATTAAAACGTCTACAAAGTTGGAAAATTTGACTGGAATGTTGTGCGAAAAATTCTAGAAGTTGCCTGGAAAGTTAGAAAAGTAGCGATGAAAGTCCGAAACGTTGTCTTACAAGTTACAGTGGACAGTAAGAATATTTCAATTGAAAGTGTGAAAGATTGTATTTTATGTCAGAAAAATTGTCTGGATAGTCCTTAGAAAGTTGTCTGAAAGTCAGAAAATGTAGCTGGGTAAATTAAAAAAAAAAAAAAAAATGCCAAAACTTCGGTGAATTGTGTGGCGAAAATATTTTCTGGAATGTCTGAACAGTTTGCTTGCAAAGTGAAGAAATTTACAATATTGCCTGGAAAGTCAGTGAGGTAACTAAAAAGTTGAATGAAATGTAGAAAAAAATCTACTTGCAAGGTGTAAAATTTGCCTACAATGTCTGAAAAGGTGAATGGAAAGTCAGAAAAGTTGTAGGGAATGTTGAAAACGTTACCTGGAAAGTCAGAAAAGTTGTAAAAGTTGAACTGAAAGTCTAGAGAGTGGACTCCACAGTTGATAGAGAGCCTGAAACATAAGGTTATTTGCATTGTTATTGTTATTGCAAGTTATGTGTCAAGATGGCAAAACCTGTCAGAATTATGTGAAAATTGATTATTTTTATCACAAAAGCTAAATTGTTATTTAATCATGAATAACTATATTTCTAAGATGCTTTTGAATATTTCTAGTTTCATTTTTCGTATTTAATTCATTATTTCTCTTGTTCTTATTCAGTAATATAAAATATTCTATAAACAATATAAAGATTGTTCACTATGATGATGCAAAGATGCAAAAATTCCATATCCATATCTGTAGCCAGTAAATCATAGGAATTGTTTCCTCTTATACGATCTTATCAGAAGAAACCATGACGATGTAGATAGGGATAGAGCATTAAATAATTTGAAAGTACTTCCTTGCATGAAAGTACATGAACTGCAAGCTTTCAACCTGAAAAATTCGGGACAATGATTTATACAATTTGATATTTTAAGCGTGTCATATAGTTATTGATTTTGACTCATGTCAAATTCTCAGTCAGTTTTTTCAGTACAAAATTTATTTGGAGAAAAACTGTCTGAAAAGATGCAAAAACGCCATGATTCCCATAGAAAGCATTATTTTATAAACAAATAAATACTAATCAGCAGAATATTTTAATAATTCATGACAACTAGAAGTACCCATCTTATAAATACTAGTATTATTGTGTCACCATATGTAACCGAAACAAAGTTTGAAAATACAATGAGGAACCATTCATTTTGTTTCTTTTGGAACAATAGCATAAATTCAAAACAATAGTATAAAGTTGAAGAAAATCTGATCAATTGTGTAAAGTGGATAGCATAACTCATATTTTTTTGAGAGGGTTATTTCCACAATAATGCATATAACAATTCTTTTTCCTTCATTTCATAAGGGAGTTTTCTGTCACCTGAACATGTTACTGAGCACATGACAGCTTATTCGATCAAAAACTGTGTTTCTAGTCCCAAGATGATGGAAAAAAATTATAACCTTTCCTTTAAGTTTTCACAATATTTTGGCAGAAACCCAAAATAAAAGTTGTGGGAGGCCCCTTATGAAAAAATACTGGCACGTTTACAGACTACACACAAACCATATTTATTTGTTGGTCTTTTGTGAATTTTCATTGAATAGTATCGCACGAAAAACTCAATAACAGTGTCCAGCTTGACAGTAGGTAAAACTAACCAGTCTCACAACGGTCTAAACCCAGCTCACGTTCCCTGTTGGTGGGTGAACAATCAATAGTATTATTCATGATCTAATTAATATTCATGAACTTTAATTAATTTAACTTTTACTTCAATCATTTTGATGAAAAACATTATCTAATTTATTAGATTAAATGTAATCATTTTGAAAATTAAATTTCACATAACAGCCTACAACTTTCATTCCAATTTCTATCGAAACCAATGCAAAATAATAGAATGATAATTTTGCCATTTTCCACAAAAATTCAGACCGAATTGCAATTACCATATTTACTGTAATAGAAGTGCTTATATAAACAAAAAATCACATTTTGTGTACACTCGATCATTAAAATATTATTTATTCTGAGCACAGACATAACTCTGTAATATATGTACAGTAAAATGACTAATTTTCACTGAGTTTAAATTTCGCTGATGAGCGGGTTTTAAATTCACGGTTTTATCATTTAGATAATGTGTTCTATGCTAAATTTGACATATTCACTGGGTCTTAATTTAGCGCATTTTCCAGTCAGCGAAATAAGCAAAATTAAAACCCAGTGAATAATTCATCCTTTTACAGTAAGTGCATGCATTGCTATGCATTTTTGGAACAAAATTTATACTAGGAACACCACAAAAATGTGTGGGTTACATAAACCTATTGTTTTGGTCTGAGTCAAGTACCTTGCACGAGAACACTAGCAAGACTTGTTCCAGACTTGTACTATGAAAAAAATAATAATAAAAGTGAAAGATTCAGCTATTGCATGCATTGCCAGTGCACAGTGATGAATATGTGTTTATTTACAAAAAGACAAAAGATATATTGTCTGCTTTGTCATTTGCTCATTGGCAAGAATAATTCAAAACAAACCACTCAACATTTGAAATGACCCTATACTAATGCCTGTTTCACCGGACCTCCATCAGAAATTAAATTAGCTAAGCCTTAGAAGCTCAACTGCTTGGGTTAAGGGTTTGAATCCATTCCTTGGCTATCTGCTCCAATAGTTGAGTCTTCTCGTCAACTCCAATCTGAACCAAAGTGCAAGATCTGATATAAAACTGTTACAGTTATGTAGCTAAGACAATGTCGGTTTACATATGAATATGAATACATGTAAAGAAATTACAATCTGCGTATGAATACATGTAAAGAAATTACAATCTGCATATGAATACATGTAAAAAAATTACATTCTGCGTATGAATACATGTAAAGAAATTACAATCTGCATATGAATACATGTAAAATTAAAGCCGCAAGCGGCGTCACCGGGGCCCAAGCTGATAAGATTCTGTTTCATAATTAATGAGGTCACATGTTAGACAATCAGGTAGCTTTAATTATCAGTAACATGAGGTCGAAATGAAGTTGGTACCATGTATTTACCTGGTTTGGTTATCGAAATATGGTTTTCAGGATATATAATGAGCCATGTTCTTATGCACAATAATGAGATTACATAATCATATATAGCCATTTCTAATGTCAGTTACATCTTTCATTCAATGTCTTCATAATGACACTAGTTACATGTCCTGCTCTGCGACAGTGTTTCAGATATGACTGCTATGCATATTAATGAGTTTACAGGACCATATATGGTCATCTGTTATTTTAATCAA